GCACTAAGTGGATCTTCAATCCTCCAGCGGCACCAAATATTGGTGGAAAATGGGAGGCGGCGGTGAAATCAATCAAGTACCATCTTAAACGAACCATCTCGGATACGTTGCTAACGTTCGGAAACTTCTCCACGTTCTTAGCTCAAGTTGAGGCGGTTCTCAAMTCTAGACCTCTCAGCTCTCTCTCGGAAGACCCTGATGACATCAGAACATTAACACCAGGGCATTTCATCAGAGGGGAAGCATTAACAACTATCCCCGAGCCTTCTCTAATAGACATCTCAGATTCCAGGTTATCTCATTTCCAGCGGATTCAAGAGCGCTTCCAGCAATTTTGGAAAAGGTGGTCGACGGAATGCCTGCAAGCGCATCAGACCACATCCAAATGGCAAACATCGCAGAACGATATCAGGGAAGGGTCTCTTGTCCTCATTACTGACGAACGTCTTCCTCCGTCAAAGTGGCCTCTCGCCAGGGTGATACAACTACACCCAGGAAAGGACGGTCTCTGCAGGTTTGTCACGCTAAAGACCGCCACCAGCACTATCACTAGACCTATCGTCAAGCTCGCACCATTGCCTCTCCAACCGCACAAGGAATAATAATTTTCTCAGCGGTTCAGCACATCTCACTAAGTCAAATTCTCGAATCACGCTCCAGAATGGGGGGGGGGAGAATGTTCAAAAATTGCGCCTCTCAGACTAGATAGCAGCACCTCTCGGCTAGCATGATTAATGCGCTGTCTGTTATCGCTGAGAAGAAGACATATCGATTGCTCTTATTGATCAAGGGATCACGCCACTTTACGTGTCAATAGGTCATTGATCCCCTGTGACGTCATCCTCTGCGTGTTACTTTCCTATTGATTGTTTGTCATCTCTTCCTAGCGTGGAACTCGCTCATTGGTCTATTGTCCTTTTTCCACTTCCGCTCTGTTCCTCTAATCAAACCGAAAAGTGGCGTGGTCCAGCAGAACCGTTTAATAAGTTAATCTGTGCGGACGTAAATTTTGAAATCTAAAAGAATTGTGCACCATCTTATAGGCTTCATCTCGCTCTATTCTCATCTTACACCGTTCCATCTCATCTCTTTCTCGCTTTTTCTCATTTAGGCCATCCTTGTGWTKYGTCTYTCTGACTGATCATCTCTTTATACTCTCTCGCATTAACGACCTCTCAGGTAATCTCATAACCTTTATCTTTAATCTCATCATCTCTATATACCTTTTGACCTCACATTTTTGTACTCTTCGTTTCATTAATTCATTACTACATGTTCATAATTGTTAAAAAATCTTGTTCCACTTAAATTCTACCAGAAATTAAGACAAATACAGTCCACTAGCCTCCCTCTTCCATCTTCTATTCGTTTATTTTGTATTTTATTCTCGAACAGTACGAATTAAAGCCGAGAGATATTGAACGCCGATTATGCTTAAGTAAAATACTGCTTGCAAGACATAATAAAAAAGGGTTTTTTACATCGTATCATCACTGGTGACGAGAAATGGGTACATTATGATAATCCAAAAAGAAGAAAATCATAGGAATTACCTAGCTATGCGTCAACATCAACAGCCAAACCAAATATTCACGGAAAAAACTCATTTTGTGAATTTTATGTGATCAGCTGGGTGTAGTGTATTATGAGTTGCTTAATCCGAGCGAAACAATCATCAGAGCCCACTATCGAACACAATTAATGAGATTGAGCCGAGCTCTGAAGGAAAAACGCCCTCAATACTATTCTAGACACGAAAAAATTATTCTCCTGCATGACAATGCTCGTCCACATGTAGTCGCTCCCGTAAAAAA